GCAGCAAACACACTCTCAACTTGAACGTTGGGCGACGTTTGATCAATGAGATCAACGACCAAGAATGAAGAACCCGACAAGGTGGGACATTGCCCCGGCTGTAGGCGCACGGTTGATCTGTAGGTTCGCAAGAGCCGCAATCTGTCGATCTCAGGTCCGGAGGTGTGCGCCGGAGGGGGCGCGAGCGCTTGTGCATACCTCGAAAGTGCTCCACCTCACAAAAGTTTGAAAGGGAGGGGGTCCCCTCTGATGGCTGGAGGGAGACAACAAAGCTATGTTTGCAAGGGTCCCCAGTCTAAGCCTTAGGAGTAGTAGTATGTAGGTAGTGAAGGTGCATTGAAAGAAATTGAAAGATGATGATTTTTTTATATTTTTTTTAAATCCACCTTCTCCTTTTTTTTTTTTTTTTTTTTTTTTTTTTTTTTTTTTTTAAAAAGAAAAATAAAAGAAAAAGAGGAAGGGGGGTGTTGGGTGGTCCTTTTTTCTCCTTTTTTAAATCCACCTTCTCCTTTTTTTTTTTTTTTTTTTTTTTTTTTTTTTTTTTTTTTTTTAAATCAGAACTTCATATACGGGAAGATTCACTTAACGAGGTGATAAGAGCAGCCCCGTTAAGTGGGTCTCGATGTTGAAGGCTCCATCTATTGGTGGGGAGCTACACCTGCTGGAAATCGGGTCCAGTGTCCCTTATACAATGATGTGAAATGTTCCTTAAGTTTAAATATCCCCCATAGAACAAAAGGCATTGCTTACTTCCCAGGCGAAGGGAAGGATTGACCTCCTGCGTACATGACGAAAACCTAAGTAAAAAAACATCTCCATCAAACACGCCGACAGCCAAAAACATACCCCCCTTCTCCTCATCGAGAGAAAGTCATTATATATTTTTCTCTCTTCTCACATATCTTTTAACTTGCGTTCTGCCATGTCATGGAAAGTATCTTTCTTTTCATGAGCTACGACTACTCCTGAGGCTATACAGGGGACCCCTGCAAGCATAGTTTTCTACCTCTCTTCGGTGAAGGGAGTTTTTTTGCTAGTAACTGTGCCTCCCTTTTCATCTTCCCCCACCCCCATCGAGTAACAGTGGTGTCTAAAGCCAACACTCTCCCACACACCACACGCAACCCACTCACACTCGCAATCACACCCCCCTTGGCTGAATAATTTACTAAATACAGACTAGGAGGATCCAACTGACTATCTTTTTTTTTTTTTTTTTTTTTTTTAACACACAAGCTCATCTACTGGTGGGGAGCAACACCTGCTGGAAACCGGGTCCAGCATCCCATACATACAACCATATCCTCACAAGTTGGCACAAGCTGGGAACCCTGTGACGCGCAACCTCACGCCCTGTGCTGTCTTTCGTTCGGAGTGCTAGAGGTGCGGAAAAGGGCCCCAGAAAAACAGCAAGATGGGGTGTGCCAAGGATTTTTGGAAATAAAGTGTGGAGACACAGACGAAACTGAAATCCCCCGTGTTGCTCCGATGAAGTAAGTCGACCGTTTTTTCGCGCGTCGCAAAATGCGCGCGGGAGTTCGGCGCGAAAGGAGAGAGAAATACAAATTCGATCCAAAAAGTATTGTCGGGCTTCCCACCGTGCTACGGCCCTTCGTTTAGAGCGAAAAGGCTTCGGCACGCTTCGCGTGTCTCGTCTTCGTATTAAGTCCCGACGTCGTTCACCAGTCAGTTCTGAGTCCGACGTGGATGGGCCTCAGTCATGTGGCTCTTTCTCTGTGTTCGTCTTCACTCCGTACGCGGTAGTGGAAACCCTTGGATTCGTAGTGCTCAAAGCGCTGGCACTCGGTGCATAGAGTGCGAGGCCAGTGGGGTTCTACTGCCGTCCACGGGATGACGATCAACTCGTTAAATGGCAACAATATCGAGTAAGGTGGAAAGTGTGTATCAATAATGACAAACCCAGCCTCTACGAACCCTGAACAACAATTTTCCGAAGGGAAGTAATATCGTCCGCCGAACCGTGCGACAGCTTCTCGTACGTCCCACTCGCATACACGTGTCCTTTCCTCGTCGTAAGGAAAAGGTCGCGTTGAAACGGGAGATACGGGAGGCTGACGCCCGATCGAAGGGCATTTGTCAGTCCACATGTCAATCAATTGCAAGAATCCCGAGACGTCATCAAGGAAAAACACCCGCATAACCACCAATCAATTCTTTTCGACACGAGAGAGAGAGAGAGAAAACACTCATCAGCTGGATCATGCATGTAACTGAGGGACCGACCCGCGACTCAGGTTTAGTAAGCCATCGCGACGTTGGTCCAAGGCGCCTTGTTTCTCGAGGCTGCCTTGTAGATCGGTTGCAAATGTCGTGCAGCATAAGGCAGATGACATGCGCAGTGCATTCAGAACTACAGATCTAAACATTCTTGCATTCTCGAACAAAATCCCGCCGAGTGTTGCGTCTAATCAACACAAAAAGGCAAGCATCTCCCTACATACATTCACTGTGGAAGGTGCGAAAATGACAGGGGTGCACTTGTCGGAAATCAACCGAGGGAATTGTACACATGCATCCACCGTTCACAAGACAAGAGGATCAATTCCTCGACATCCGAGGATTACCCAGGAAACTAATGGAAGAGTTTCGGAAGAAGTTCCTTCACACAAGAGAGCACACAAATTCATTCCCATTCATGAGAGGGACAAGCATCAAGGCACATCGTCATTCAAAGATAGAGGAGAGAGAGAGAGACGAGGGAGGAATGTCGAGATAGGAGATGACAAGATCCGAAAAGAGGAAGTTCGGCGTTGCCGCCGTACACTCACGYCAGAGATAAAGATCCRCAACAACAAAGGCGCATTCGCYGTGAATTCCAATATGGCCCCGGGCCAACCACCCACTCAACTCCAATCATCGATCCTCATACCCGCACCAACGATCTCAGTCGTCGCGTGCTAACTCCCACCACTGCGATCGTCACCCCGCCGACGTAAACTCGACGTGGTTCGCCCAGATCCCACAGTCCGTCGTGGCGATCAAGCGCGCAATCGGTCAGCCTATTTCAGCGCGACAGGACTTTCCGACTCGCGTCAAACACTCTGCCTAGCCATTGCTTCCCGGAAGCTGGCTTGGGAGTCGAGAACGTAAGAGAGATTTGCGGGCGCGTTTGCGGAATTTATAGTGGCGAGAAGGGGGACAAGGGAGAGAGAAGGCGGGGGGAGAATCGAAGTGTAAGAAAAAAAGCAGGAGGAGAAGACTTGGCGAGGAGCGCGCTACGGAAGCCATGTTGATCCTTCGGGACTCTGAGCTTCGCCAATCAGATTCGTCGTGCAATAGGCAGATCCTATCAGACCACGCGTCTGATTGGTGGGCGAGAGTAATCGAAGGATCGACCGGGCTTCCGAGTCACGTTCGGAAGGCGAAGGGAAAAAGGGCGCGGAAAGTAGCATAAGACGGGCCTTAGATTCAGATGATCAAGAAAGGGAAATGGGCGCGCAACCGATCAGAGCGGGAGAGAGAGAGAGGGAAAACAGTTGCGAGAAGGGAGGATGAGAAGGGGGAAGGAGGAAAGAGCGTGGGAGAGAACGATGCGGGAAACAGAGCAGGGGGGGTGGGAGAAGAAAGTTTCGCATGCGTGGCGCCGTCAACAAAAAGAAAAAGAAAAGGGCACCGAAACAGTTACAGCTTGCCTATGTCCTAAACCAATTCAAAATTGAAATCACCATATCCGCGCGCGAAGAGGACGACGCGGGAAAAGAAAGTCCTACGCATATTCGTATCCTTACAAAATTCCGAGAGTTTTCCCCAACGCGACCGAGAACATTCACACACAAAAAGGACACGTCGAAGTTCCGCTTATCCCGGAATTTCCAACTGCCGGGCCC